GTGCAGTGGTTAAGAGCACTTACTACTCTTACAGAGGACTCAGCTTTCGCTACCAGTACCCAACACCCTCAGAGGTTTGCAACCACCTACAACTCCAATTCCAAAGGATCTGTTAATCTCTTTTGGCTTCCTGGGGCACCAGGCATGCAAATTGTATACGTACGTACGTGCAGATGCTCATAAAAACACATAAAATGAAAATAAATGAATCATTAAAAATAAGCCAAAAAATTTAAAAATGCAGACAAATAATAACAGCAACAACAAAACCTTCCCAAATAAAGCATCAGAAAAGAACTTCTGTCATCTAAATGTACTAATTGATAACACTTTGCCTCATTTTCTGTGTTTGTCTACAACTATATGTTTGAGCACTTTTTTGGACTGTTTGATGGTAAGTCACTAATAGGACACTTGATTCTAAGTTTTTCATATATCCACTGGTAGGATATTATCCACTAACAACCTTCCATCAATCCTCGTTAATGTAAACAACCTGTTACTATTATCCTAAGAAAATTATCTTAGGAGTATGCTCAGAAATTCAGTTTCTTCTATGGATTTTCCCATTTTGATGGACATTTTTTATTTGATTTTAATATTCCGAACATTTCAGCTTCAAACTTCTTAAATGCATTTATTATTGGGTTTTCTTAGATGTTTTTTTTCTCCCCTTTTTATTGAGAATTGTTTTTTTTCCTCACATAATATATGCTGATCATGGTTTCCCATCTTTCTACTCTCAGTTCCTTCCCATCTCACCTGTCATCCAGATCCACTCCCTTTCTGTCTCTCCTTAGAAAATAAACATGCTTCTAAGAGATAGTGATATGATATAATATAATAAAATATTTTAAAATGGAAAATGATACATTGAGTTGGGATGAAACAAACTCTCCTAAGGAACCACCACGAGGATTTCCATAGTAATTATACAAGTTTGCACTCCTACCAGCAATGGATGAGTGTTCCCCTTACTCCACATGTTCACCAGCATGAGTGGTCATTGTTTTATAAATTTTAGCCATTCTGACGGGTGTAAGATGAAAGCTCAAAGTAGTTTTGATTTGCATTTCCCTGGTAGCTAAGAATATTGAACATTAAGTGTTTCCCAGCCATTTGATTTTCCTCTTTTGAGAATGCTCTTTTTTGATCTTTACCCCATTTTTAATTGGGTTGCTTATTTTCATGATATCTAGTTTTTTGAGTTCTTTATCTATTTTGGATGTTAGCCCATTATCAGGCTTGTGGTTGATAAAATCTTTTCCTGTTATGTAGGCTGCCGCCTTATCCAAGTGACAGTATCCTTTGATGTGCAGAAGCTTTACAGTTTCATAAGGCTCCATTTATTAATTGTTGGTCTTTGTGCCTGTGTGTGTTCTGTTCAGTAACTCTTTTCCTGTGCTGAGTTCAAGGCCATACCCTACTTTCTTTTCTATCAGGTTCAGTGTATCTGGTTTCATGTTAAGGTCTTTGATCCATTTGGAGTTGAGTTTTGTGCATGGTGGGAAGTATGGATCTATTTGGATTCTTGTACATACAGCCATTCTTTTTGACTGGCACCGTTTTTTGTTTTTGTTTTATTTTGAAGATGCTGTCTTTTTTCTAATGTGCATTTTGGCTTCTTTACCAACAATCAGGTGTCCTTACGTGTGTTGATTTATGTTTGGGTCTTCAATTCAATTCCCTTGATCAATGTGTCTGCTTTTCTGCCAGTACTATACTGGTTTTATTACTATAGCTCTGTAGTACAACTTGAGATTGGGGATGGTGATACCTCCTGCAGTTCTCTTACTATTCAGGATTGTTTTAGTTATCCTGGGGTTTTTGTGTTTGCATATGAAGATGAAAGTTAGCCTTTCAAGATCTGTAAAGAATTGTGTTGGAATCTTAATGGAGATTGCATTGTATCTGTAGATTGCTCTTGGTAGGCTGGCCACGTTTACTATATTAATTCTACCAATCCACGAGCATGGAAGATCTTTCCATCTTCAGATACATTCTTCAGTTTCTTTCTTCAGTATCTTGCCCTTTTTATCATACAAATATTTCACTTGCTTGGTTAAAGTTACCTCAAGATATTGTATATTAGTTGAGGCTATTGTAAAATGTGTTGTTTCCCTGATTTCTTCTTTCTCAGTCCATTTGTCATTTGTACACAGGAGGGTTACTGATTGTTGTGATTTAATTTTGTATCCATCTTCTTTGCTGAATGTGTTTATGAGCTGTAGGAGTTCCCCCAGTGGAATCTTCAGGATCACTTACGTATACTGTCATATCATCTGCAAATAAAAATACTTTGACCTTTCCAATTTGTATGCCCTTGGTCTCCTTAGTGTCTTATTGCTCTAGCTAAGACTTCAAGTACTCTATTGAATCGGCATGGAGAGAATGGACAACCTTGTCTTATTCTGGATTTTAGTGTAATTGCTTTCAGGTTCTCTGTATTTAAGTTGATGCTGGCTATTGGCTTGCTGTACAGTGCCTTTATTATGTTGAGGTATGTCCCTTTTATCCATAATATCTCCAGGACTGTTACCATGAGTCAGTGTCGAATTTTGTCAGAGACCTTTTCTGCAGATAATGAGATGATCCTGTGGCTTCTTTCTTTCATTTTGTTTATATGATGGATTACATTTATTGATTTATATATGTCGAACCATTGAATCATCTCTAGGATAAAGCCATTCTTTTTTTTTTTTTTTTTTTTTTTTTTTTTTTCGAGACAGGGTTTCTCTGTGTAGCTTTGCACCTTTCCTGGAACTCACTTGGTAGCCCAGGCTGGCCTCGAACTCACAGAGATCTGCCTGGCTCTGCCTCCCAAGTGCTGGGATTAAAGGCGTGCGCCACCACCGCCCGGCAATTTTCCATTCTTTTACCATGAGGTGATGTCTATTCTTGGTATTATGGTGTATTTATTGGATGCAGCAGAAAGATGGCTCCTGTTTTCATAAACATTCTATTAGTTTGTATCTTTTTAATTGGGGGATTGAAACCATTGATGTTGAGATATATGAATGGGAAGTGTTTGTTAATTCCTGTTATTTTGTTGGGGTGGTGTGTGTGTTTCCTCTCTTTTGATATGGTGGTCTGAGATTATTTATTCCTTCTGTCTTCTTGGGTGTGGTTAACCTTCTAGTGCCTTCATAAGGGCTGTATTTGTAGATAGATACTGCTGAAATTTGGTGTTATGGTAGAATGTCTGAGTCAGGAGAAGGGAGTTTGGAGGTGTAGATCTGTGTGATTGGAGACCAGGGCAGGGATAAAGGGGAAGCCAAAATAGGTGATCTGCTACAGAGCTAGGGATGAGATTGTGGGATTGGATTTGGAGGAGAGGAGGAATTGGTAAAGAGCTGCAGGTAGCCTACCTGCTTCCCTGGCTGGTGATCCTTAGTGTTCTTAAAAATTCTAATGAATTCTCTCCCTCACCTTTTTTGTTGGTGTTCTTTGTCTGTTTGTTTTTTTAAGACAGTTTCTCTATATAGCCCTGGCTGGCCTGGAACTCGCTCTGTAGACCAGGCTGGCCTCGAACTCAGAGATCTACCTGTCTCTGCCTCAAAAGTGCTGGGATTAAAGGTGTGCACTGTAGGTGGACCTTTCTTTCCCATCTGCCAGTTTCCAAATGACTGACAGGAAGATTTAATATAAATTATAAATGCTCAGTCAATAGCTCAAGCTTATTACTTGTAGTAGGACAGGCACATAGGGTTGAGGAAATTGGCTCAGACCAGTTGCCAAGGCATGCTCATAATGTACTCCTTATGAGCCAACTTGGAGTTTGCCTGAGGGCCTAGCAACAGGAGCTGTCAAAGTTCATGGTCACTGTCAGAGGTCCTGGTCACTGTGAGAGTTCCTGGTCACTGTCAGAGTTCCTGATCATGCAGAGTCTGCCTGAAGGCCTAACAACAGATGCTGTCAGAGTTCCTACTCGATGTCAGAGTTCCTGATCATGTAGAGTCTGCCTGAGGGCCTAGCAACAGTTGCTGTCAGAGTTCCTGATCATGTCCAGTCAATGAGAGATGATCACACAAACTGGGTGCTGGGAGGAGGGTATATAAGGCCTTCCCTGATATTGAATAAATAAGCTCATTATTTGCCTTCAATGGACTCCTGGTATCTGTGCCATTGATGATGCTCCTTCTCACCCCGTACCCCAAGGAAGCTGTTAGAATCCAAGCAATAATTACTAACTAGAGCTTACAACTTAACCCATATTTCTTATCTAAGTTCTACCACTGGCTCATGGCTTGTTACCTCATTTCATACATGTCCTGCTTCCTCTGTGTCTGGCTGGTGACTCCTCTGACTCCACCCTTCTTCCTAGAATTTTCCTAGTCTCATTTTCCTGCCTACCCTTACCCTGTCCAGCTATTGGTTAGTCAGTTTCTTTATTAAACCAGTCACGGTGACATATATTCACCTAGTGTAAAGGAATATTCTACAGTGCACCACCACAGGTATCTCTCCTCTTTCTTTCTGTTTTCTTTTTAGCGTTTTTTTTGTTTTGTTTTGTTTTGTTTTTAGACAGAGTCTCATTATTTAGTCCAAGCTGGCTTAGAACTCAGGACCCTGTTATGACTGGCTCCTTGTTGATGGGATTACAATTGTGCACTTCCACCACCACGGATTTTTACCCTGTTTTATTTTTCAGAATTTCAACTCCAGGCTAGTTTTCTTAAAGTGTGACACCTATTATGTATTTCTGTGCTTTGATTTTTTTTTCTCATGATTTGGTTCAAAAACCTTCACCAAAGGATGTGTATTTCAAGTAGTATGTAAAAAAGCACGTAATATTATTTCAGTTTAGTTTGTTTTAATCTCATTAAGCAGATGTGCCTTCCCAAAAGAGTATTGTCTTACATAAACTTTCATTATTGCTGCTCTCTTGCTCCTATTCAGCTTTTCAGAAAATACTTTAGAGTTGGGCCATTGATTGAATGCATTTTGTCTGTGTATGTCACAGGGAAATAAAATAGTCTTGCTTTCTCCTTTTCTTTCAGGTTTGGAGTCAAATTATGAAGCTCAAAAATTATCGCCAGACAATCATAATATAAATTTACCCAAAGAGAGCAAAAAGCATGTAAGTAAAACTTTTGACCTCCAGGGCTCCAGTTTTAGTAATGGCCCCAACTATAGAACATTCAAGAGTTGTCAAGAAGGAAATGATGATCAAAAGATTACCAAGAAGGAAAAAATACCTACTTTTGCCAGCCAAACTATTACTCACAATATAGAAAAAGCATGTGAATGTAAAGAGTGTGGGAAGTACTTTGATTGTAGTTCAACTCTTTTTCAGCATCAGACTATTCATATTGGAGAGAAAGCCTATGAATGCAAGGATTGTGGGAAGGCCTTCAGACTCCAACAACAGCTTACAAGGCATCAAAAATCTCACAGTGGTGAGAGACCTTATGAATGTGATGAATGTGGAAAGGCATTTCATCTCCCCAACCTGCTTAAGTACCATAAAACCATTCATACAGGTATAAAACCATTTGAATGTGAGGAATGTGGGAAGTCCTTCAAGCGTGTCTTCCACCTTGTTGAACATAGGAGTGTTCATGCTGGTGTGAAACCATATGAATGTAATGAGTGTGGAAAAGCCTTTAAACGTCGCTCATATGTTACACAGCATCAGAAAATTCATTCTGGTGAGAGACCCTTTCAGTGTAAGGAATGTGGAAAAGCCTTCACTTTTCTGGCACAGCTCACTCGGCACCAGAATATTCATAGTGGAGAGAGATCATTTGAATGTAAGGAGTGTGGGAAGATATTCAGTTTTGGTTCATTCCTTTTGCGGCACCAGAGTATTCATACTGGTGAGAAACCCTTTGAGTGTAAAGTATGTGGAAAGACTTTTAGGCTTCAGTCATACCTTTCTGAGCATAAGAAAACTCACACTGATGAGAAACCTTTCAAGTGCAAGCTGTGTGGGTCAGCCTTCCGACGTAAGGACCAACTTAGTGAGCATCAGAGAACTCATACCAATGTGAAACCCTATCAGTGCAAGGAATGTGGGAAATCCTTTCGTCGGCGTTCAGGTTTTACTGATCATCAGAGTATTCACACTGGAAAGAAACCCTTTGGTTGTAAGCAATGTGGAAAAGTCTTTAGACTTAATATACACCTCATACGACATCAGAAATTTCATAGTGGCGAGAGACCTTTTGAATGCAAAGAATGTGGAAAGGCATTTCATCTTTCCAGCCAGCTTAATTACCATAAAAGCATTCATACAAATCAAAAACCATTTGCTTGCAAGGAGTGTGGGAAGTCCTTCAAGCATGTCTCCAGTCTTGTTGGTCATAGAATTATTCATGCTGGTGTGAAACCATATGAATGTATTGAGTGTGGGAAAGCCTTTAATCATCGCTCAAACCTCAAGCAACATCAGAAAATTCATTCTGGTGAAAGACCCTTTCAGTGCAAGGAATGTGGAAAGGCCTTTATTGTTCTGGCACAGCTCACTCAGCACCAGAGCATTCATACTGGAAAGAAATCATTTGAATGTGAACAGTGTGGGTCAGCCTTCAGACTTAAGTCCCTACTCAATCAACATCAGAAAATTCATACTGATGTGAAACCATATCAGTGCAAGGAATGTGGAAAGGGTTTTGTTCGTGGTACATTCCTTAAAATTCACCAGAGAATCCATACTGGTGAGAAGCCCTTTCAATGTAAGGAATGTGGAGAAGGCTTTCAATATCATTATCAATTTCTTGGACATTTTAGAATTCATACTGGCAAGAATCCTTATGAATGTAAAGAATGTGGGAAGTGCTTTACTTGTGGTAGAGACCTTAAAGTACATCAAAGAACTCACACTGATGAGAAACTTTACCAATGTTAAGAATGTGGGAAGACCTTTAGTCAAAAATCAAACTTGGTCGGACACACTAAAATTCATATTGGAAAGAAGTCTTATGGAAATAAGGAATGTGGAAATTCCTTTAGCAATAATGCTCAGCTAGCTGTGTATCAGAATTTGTATTGGTGAGAAACTGTATTGAATGTAAGAAATGTGGGAAAATGTTTAGATTTAGTTCAGCCTTTACTGAATAACAGAATTCATACTGATGTGACACCCTATCAATGTAAAGAATGAGAAAATACCTTCAATTGGAACTCAGGCCTTCAAAATAAAGGAATCCATGCTTAGGTGAAACCCTATGAATGCAAAGAATGAGGGAACACTTTTAGAATTGGCCAAGCTCTTAAAGCTCTTCACAGAGTCCATAAAAGTCTGAAACCCTATGAATGTAAAACATATGGGAAAGCATTTATTGTAAATGGTGAGCTTATACAACATCAGAAAATCCATGATCATCAGGAGTCCTGTGCATGTTAGGCAAGTGGATAAGCCTTTGTATGAAAATTTTAGTGACCATCAGGGAACTCATTTTGGCAAGATTGTGACTGAAAAGAATTTGGGAAAAACTTTAATCTGCTCTAGTATCTAGTATTTGGTCACCATCAGAGTATTCATATACTCTTCATGCCAAGAACCCCTTTGGTTTCTGTTGCTGCAATGAAACCCCAAGACCAAAAAGCAAGTTTGGAAGGAAAGGGTTTATTTGACTTACACTTCCATATTGCTGTTTGTCGCTCAAGAAGTCATGACAGGAACTAAACAGGTCAGGATCCTGGAGGCAGGAGCTGATGCAGAGGCCATGGAGGCTCCTTACTGGCTTGCTTCCCATGGCTTGCTCAGCCTGCTTTCTAATATAACCCCCAAACACCAGCCCAGAGGTGGTACCACCTACCATGGGCTAGACCCTGTACCAGGCTTTTTCTTTTGGGCCATCAACCAGCTCCCAAATTATGACACTGAGACTTATTAGTATTGAATTCTCACCCTTAGCTTAGAACTCTTTTGCTAGCTCTTATACCCTAACCTGTTTGTCTTCATCTGTGTTTTGCCTTGGGGCTTTTTACCTTTTTTACTTTCTTCATATCCTGCTGTCTCTGTTTGACTGGCTGGAGGCCACCTGGCTTCTTACCCCATTCTCCCCCTCATTCTCTCCTCTCTTCTTCCTCTTGTTCCTCTCTTCTCTAGAGCCTAGATTTCTCCTCCTATTTAATCTCTCTGCATGCCAGCCCCATCTGTCCCTCTCCTGCCTAGCTATTGGCTGTTCAGCTTTTTATTAGACCAGTTAGGTTCCTTAGGCAAGGTGAAACAGATGCAACACATCTGTATATAACACACATCCTTACATTGTTAAATAAATGCAGCACAAACAACTGTAACACACCTTTACACAGTTAAAGTAATAATCCCCAGTTTAAAAATGTAACACATCTTTACCTAGTTAAAATAATATTCCACAACAGGGCCCTCCTCATTAATCACTAATTGAGAGAATGCCTTCCAGCTGGATCTCATGGAGGCATTTCCTCAAATAAGGCTACTTCCTCTCCGATAACTCCAGCTTGTCTCAAGTTGACACACAAAAGCAGCCATTACATCCTTTGGGAATGAGAATGTGAGAAGTCTATTATTCATAGGCGATACTCTGTTGGCAGTGTCTATGAATGTCAGAAATAATTGGGTAGCCATCATGTTCTTCATTTACTCTCATCCTGTTGATTCTATAAACATAATTCCTCAAACATTACTCACTCAGTACAGTCAACTTAGAACAAGAAACCTTCCATTTTACTATTTTTTTTATCACATGGATCCTGTGACATTAGACTGTTTGTTTACTTTCTTTTTGGATAATTCATTAATCACCAGCACAATACAAGCCAAAGCTGTGGGCACAGAGTTGTAATAGATAATAAAATTCTTGAGAAAGTATTTGGTCCATGCCTGTGTTCTTTAAAATGTCTTTTACTTTGCTTTCACTTTTACTAGCATTACTGTAACCAATATGAATAGCAAATTGTATTGCAGATAGTTTGGAATAACCTATGCATTCATCCACTATTAAATTTTAAATAACTTCATTCTGTATACAATCAGATGAGAAGTACTTGAAAGGATTTTCATTCAGTATCCATTCCTTAAGTTTTTTGTGTGGAGATGTTAAAAACTCAGATGAGTAAGTACTTTTTTAAATGATTAAACCCATAAAATTCAAAAGGTAAACCTATAATTTATGCCCTCTGCCCAGACATTAAGATAAACTAAGCATTTGCGACAGGGCAAGACATTATAGAATCTCCTCCATCTTCTGTTCTTTTCAAGGCCATTTTTGGCTTGACTAGAATTTGACTTCTGATAGAGAATCTTGTGGAAAATTACCCAACTCTATTCTAGGAATCTGGGGTCAAGATGTCCCTGATAATTTAATATGGCTCCTGTTAAACTGCCTTTATATACAAACATCTCCAGATAACTGCTTATCTTGGCTTCTGTTAAACTGCCTGCTTGAGTAAAAGCTCCTCCTGCAGCTGCTGAGCAAGCTAACTGGTTTTTGCTTTTAAAGCCCTTTGCTCTAAAAGCTTGAGGCTACAGTTAAGTCCTGAATACCTGAGTGTAGTCCCAGCCAACTGGAATAAGGACTTTAATTATAAACTGTATCTGAGTGGTGTTCTCTGGTGGTTTTGTCATAATACATTAAAGATAGACCAATTGAAGCCACTTATAAAAATACATGTGTGAATTTTTTCATACTTATGGACTAGTCAACAACACACTTCTGTATCATCAAAATTGTTAACAATTTACAATGTTGATCCAGTTTTTCTGTATACATGGGTATTTGGGGCTATATCAATAAGAATATGTTTTAGTATTGGGCATAGTACTACATGAATGAATCCCAGTAATTGGAAAGCTGAGACAGGAGGATCAAGAGTTGGAGGAAAGCCTAGCTACATAGTGACTTCATGTCCACTTTTGACTGTACATAGACCCTTTTTCAAAAGAAGTAAAAAAATAAAAAATAAAATATAAATAAAAAGCTGAAGACATGACATTTTACCCCTTACTACATCAGCCAAGATGGAATCTCAACTATCTATGGTACCATAATTCTTGAGGAAATGATCCAGAATTTTACAACATTCAGAAATTTGTCATTGGCCTTCAAACTGTCCTTTTTACAAATGTATGTATCCTAAGGAAAATCTAATATATATGATTCAGCCTTGCTCTGTTCTTTATTAAATTTTCAGTGCTGATTGATCCCAGTGCCCTGTGCATAGTACAGATGTGCTCAGTCACCAAGCTACATTCCCAGCCCTTAGCCATTGTATCTTCTATCTAAGAGAAGTTAGGTTCAGATGAAACATTTTGGGTAAGAACACATTGCAGATTCTCTAACATGTTGCAACTTGTCCAGAAACACCTAGGTGTTAGCTATTGTATTATTGATGAAATTAAGCTTGGTCATTTGGGTAAGATGATGGCTTCTAGAGCTTCCAATGGTCTAGTTTGTTGTGGGTAAGTAATTAGTGGAGAGACTATTACTTCCAAGTATTTATAGATTTGGATATTCTAATCATGGGTAAACTATAAATAAAAATTGAAATCAATCTGAATGAGTAGCATAATAATAGTAACATAATTCAAGCCGTGTGGTATAACCATTGCTGGACTCGGCACAAAGTTGGTACCATTTAGTTGAAGCAGGAAGCCAAGACTTGACTGGAACCTTGATTTTGTTGGCGCTTTAGTCACAAGTACTTGCACCTGTCCCTAGCACATGAGCAGTTGACAATGTTGAAAAAGTTAAACATTAAAGTAAAGAATCTACAGAAGAGACAGAAGAAACCCTAAACCAACATAAAGATGCCATCAGCAGTAAGTGAAGATTAATAGTAAATATTTTCATGTTTTAAGACTTTTTTATGTGTATGTGTGTCTTGCCTGCATGTATGTTAGTGCACTTGCTGTGTGCTTGCTGCCTGAGGTGCCCAGAAGAGGACACCATATCCCCCTGGAACTGGAGTTAAGATAGTTGTGAACCACCCTTTGGATGATGGAGACTGAACATGGGTCCTCTGCTAGAAAATACAGCAAGTGCTCTTACCTGCTGAGCCATCTCTCCAGGCCTGATGATGATAATTGTAATGTAAAAAGAAAATATTTTTTCAAGATCATAAGTTTATATTGATTTTTCTCCATTAATGTTTCTATTATCATTTGAATTTGGTATTTTGCTGAATTCTAAAGTATATTGTTATGGTTTCGTCTGGAAAATTCCTCCTATTTAATAACACCTATCTGGAATATTTTCATGTAAATGATCCCTTTGGGAGAGTTTGCTATGTTCCTAGTTCATCATTGTGAAGAGATTTGTCTAGTAGAAAATTCAGTAATGGGTAATATTGAGCATTTTATTGTTTCCACCAAAAAGACTGGAGAGAAGGTATCTGTCACCTTGCAAGACCGTGTATGATCATGCTTCTGTTATGTAGAAGCATAGGTGGACATAGTGATACAGATTGCTGTGGGTCATCTGTGCAATGTGGAAATAGATGTATATGTGTTCCCACAGTGTAACACAAATTGCTAAATGGTCTTATTAATAAAAAACCCAGAGCCAGATATTGGGGTCAATGATGAACGATCATAGAAACAACAAGCCACATCCAACCTCCCCTTACCAACTCCTCAGCCTCCAGAGCTACTTCCTGTATACTCGCACCTATATACCTTACAGACATCTTACTTCCTTTCTCCACCCAGCTACATCACTTCCTCTTTCTGCCCAGCTCTATCACTTCCTGTCTGTACAGACCTCCAGACCTTTATGGTTAACTAGTGCTTGGATTAAAGACATGTGCCACCACATCTGGTTCTGTTCCTATTGTGGCCTTGAACTCACAGAATTCCAGATGAATCTCTGCCTCCCAAATGCTAGGATTAAAGGATTGTGCTTCTACTGCCTGATCTCTATATTTAATATAGTGGCTGGCTTTGTCCTCTGATCTCCAGGCAAGCTTTATTTGTCAGAGCAGAAATAAAATATCACTACACCATAGTGTCGGGAGTTATTGAATAAGCAATAAATTTACAACCTTTGTCAGTCTTGCTGGTTACAATTTACCAAGTAATCCAAGTTTTTCTTGATAGCTGTTTGCTGGCAACCACAGGTTATTTTATTCCAATCTTGAAGTCAATTTGAAGTCTTCAGTTGCACATTAACATGTCACACAATAATATACAAATATGTAGGTTACAGAGTGTCTCAGAAAGGGATAGAGAGGTTTCAAAGTTTAAAGAGGCTGTGCTGAAGTCCAGACACAGATGATATAGGCCCATGAAAGAGTCTGGAGAGACCAGAAAAAATGTTAGGGAGTGCAGATGCTGTTCAGTAGAGATGTGAAATGCAAGTCCAGATGGCAGGTTACCTGAGGGTCAGTCTATAGTGAGCTGAGTGTTAAGGACAGGAGAAACTGCACTCAGCCTAGAGTGGTAGAGGCAGGTGTTTTTCATTGTAGTAATTTCCTGAGAATAAGGCTCATGATGAGTGACAAGGTAACTAGTCACTATGTCTGCCACATTTTGGTCGTGAGGTAGTCCTTTTATGGTCCTAGGTAAGCTCATGTGTTTGACCTAATTTGATAGATTTTCAAGTGTCATTACTAGTACAAATAAATTATCAATTTGTACCTCCTGGTGTGCTGGCAGATGGTTATTCACTTGTATCAGTAAGGTGTAGAGTCATTTCTTCATGGCACTTACAACTCAAGATAGAGTAATTCAGTCACGGTTCCTGCTTTCTAAGACAGAGTCATTCAATGGTAGGCAGAAAGCTGATATTCCATACAATTCAGAGTAACCTAAAGCCAGCCAGTTGTTCTCCACATGTGCTCATCAGGTTTGGGGTGTGAGGGACCTGTGCTTTTCATCCTCAGGACCATATTCCATGTCAGTCAATCTCCTGCACCAGTTATGGTCTCCAGGTTTCTGTTGTAGTTACTTTGCATCAATCATAGTGAAAACCATCTCCTTGGTTCCCCAGTGAGTACTGTTATTTTTCCAGGAGTCCCCCCCCCCCGCCACCGCATGCACATATTCATTACACTCTGCTTACATAGTTACAAAAATTGTAATATTTATCAGTTGGATATGGCTATCAGAAATTGATTAGATATATTCCTCTAAGGTTCTGCTGGGTATAGCCAGCCAATGGGAGGTATTTTGCCAATTTTAGAACACTTTCTTTAACATGGCTTAGTATTTGTAAAATCTGGGTCAAAGGTGTTTTTAAAAAAAATCATAACAACAACAAAACCTCTTTTCTAAATTTTCTGTAAGTTTAAAAACTTCATTTTGTCATCAGTATTGGGGAGATAACCCTCCACACTGCCAGTAGCCAGAGGAATCCATTCTCCCTTAGGAACCTCTAAATAAAGCTGAGTCCTTGTTTCCACCACAGAAGAGGTTTTCAGGATGAGCTAGAATAAAGCAAAATTAGTTTATCAAGTTAAAGGAGAGGGGAAGACAGTGTGTGTGTGTGTGTGTGTGTGTGTGTGTGTGTGTGTGTGTGTGTGTGTGTGTATGTAGCCTGCAAGAGTACTCAGCAGGGAACATTTCTCAGAGGTGGGTTTAAGCCAATAGAAATTCTATTAGCTCAGCAACGACTACACTGGTGTTCAGGATCCAAGTGTAGCCCCGAGTCTTTCTCAGTGTGAGTTTTAAGCACCAAAACCATATCCCGGTTGACATACTTCAGTTAACAAGAACAGTTAGCCAGAAACAGAACTGTGTGTGTGTGTGTGTGTGTGTGTGTGTGTGTGTGTGTGTGTGTACATACACACACACACACACACACACACACACACACACACACACACACAAAACATTGCTCAAATAATGCAGTTTACAACAAGGTCTAAAGGTGA